TTTCTTTTGAATATTGCATAATATTTTTACTCGCAATACCATAATCAAGCCAAAGTGACCTTAGCACGAGGAAAGCATTGACTTTTTTAAAAAATTTTATTTTATTTTTTCTTTTTTTTTGTAATTTTTTTAGGTACAGATTCGCAGCTGAATGGTACAGTTAATCGATTTGCTATCTATGATGCAGATTTGGATTCCGATGATTTAGAGCAGTATGAGGCGGATGATCAGTTGGGAGAAATTCCACAAACTTTTTCTAAGCATCATCATTCGGTGAGATACACTGAACTTCCACATTTTTTTCTTCCATCACCCAGACCAATTCTAAATGTGCATTTGCCTTCCTAATTTGCCATCTGAATACTTTTCGTAAATTATTTTACGGCACTGTTTATTTTTTTTCTTGTTTTTGTTGTGATCTGTTTGTATTCCTTTTCAATCCACTAAATTTTTTCAATTTTTTGATGTTATATTTCAGTGATATGAGTAAAGAAAGAAATGAGCGAATATAAATCCGTAAATCGTTTAGAATTTTTTTGCTGGTAAAATACTATGCCTCTTTTTTTTTTTTTAAATTTTCAAAGCATTAAGGTGGGATGCGAAGATCAAGAAAAGGAGGAATGAAAACTACTTTAATGTAAATGCTACAGTGTTCTAAAACTAGTGTTTTTAGGGCTATTGTAATGTCTCTTAATTAATAAGACTTTTTTATATTTATTGCAAAAAAAATTGGACAGCCTTATGGTTGAAAGTTTAAAGGAATAAAAAATAAAAGATAAAAAACAAAAAATAAAGAGAAAAACAATAAAGCAAATAAATTACGTGGTGTTTAAAGTTCAAAAAATTACAGTTCTCTCTTTTTTCTTTTTTTTTTTTTATTCGGTTAACAGTTGTATCTTGGCGATGGGACCGATGGAGAAAAAACATTTTTTTTATTATTGATACTGTCAAAAAGAGGCGCGGAGTGATTACTTACATTGATTTAATGTTTTTTTTGTTATGGCAAAAGTAGTAATTTGTGTATATTTTGTATTTTTTCCTATTTAGATACTTGCTTTTTATGACTTAAAGTTCGCTAATAAAAGAAAGCAGAAGAAAGTTATTGGATAATAACATGTTAGGAAATTTTACTTTTTTCTTGTCATTATCAAACATAATAGGTTGTGTTCTTAATCATTACTTATACAAGTAAACAAAGTTTTTTTGGGAATGATATTTATGGCTGTTACGGTTACTGGGAAAAAAATGAGTTGATAAATTTGTGGGAAAACTTCCTGATATTACGCATTCTCTCAGTTTCGCTGCAGCACAACTTCTTCAACTGTATTGGGGTGGTTGGATGTAGTGTTAATGACTTACAAATTTATTGTTGAAGTTTTTTCGGCCAAAAAGCATTTTTCAGTTCTTTGTTTTTTGATGTTCCCTTTCTTACTACCCCAACCATCCAACAGATTAGAGTGTTATAGAAGTGAGGGGAAAAAAGAAATCTTTTTCTCAAAGCTTTTATTAAGGAACAGGGACTGTTTTAAGATCATCAGAAACAAGAAGAAGAACAGTAGTTGTAGAGCAAGTGAAGCTTTATTACCGAACTGGCGGCTTTTGCCGAAATTCACAAATTGGTCCAGATGACTAATTACTCTTTTCAGGATTTTTACAACAAATCTCTATCACAGAATAGTACCTCAGACGGGTGGAGTAATCAAAATCTTCTCGGGCAACAGGAGAAGGTACAATTTTTATCATTTTAACTAGCATGGACTTTCTTTTTATTTTTCTTCTTTTTTCCACTTCGCTTTTTTCAACTGGATAAATTGTTACTACACTGCAAGCAGCATGCCTGTTGTTGTTTTTTGTTCAACGGACTTAGTTAACAGATAAATAAAATTTATCTTTTTATTTGTCTTTGCTGTTTTTATATTCAAAAATTCAATTCAATTTTGTTTGATTGTCTACCAGTCATTTTGCTGTTGTTATTGCTATCGTTCTAGTTTCTTTATGAATTATTACTGTAAAAGAAAATCGGAAACCGATGCTCAGAAATATGTAATCATAATTGGCAAAATGCTATATTTTTGGCGTTTTATTTGGTATTTCATAAGAATTGCTGAATATGACACAAATATAGCTGATACGTCTTAACTTTACTTTATACTGACTAGAGCAAGACTTTTTTTTTGAAATTTTCTCTTCAGAAATATGGACGGAAATATATGTCTTTGTTTTGCAAGAGGAGCAAAGCTTAGAATGGTTGTTTTGGCATTAAAAAAAATGCGTTAAAATCCTTATAAATTACAGAGATATAGTGATTATACACCTCGAAGTGATGACCAGACAAATGAAGATTCAGACGACGATTCTGCTGCCGCTGGCGTACGAAAGGTTATTTCGTATTTTTTGTCAAAAATTTCAGCTCTGAAATTAGATTTACTAATAGCATGTAATTTAAAAATGAAATTGTGATACTGAGTATTTATGAGTATTTTTGGTTTTCAACGAAATAGCATCCTGTTTTTTATTTCCTGTTCTTTAATTTTTTGTTTTTTTAATGTTACAAAAGAGACGGAAAACGCGTTAAAGTGTTTGGACAAAGTTTTTCTTTGATATTCTTTTCTTCTTTTTTTTTCAGTATGCAAAACTTATACTGCCTCATGTTGGTCTTGTTTTATTGACCTGCGCTTACACCGTTATAGGAGCATCTATATTTTATAGCATAGAACAGCCTCATGAAATTTCCACCAAAAAACAGCAAGTTTGTTTCTTACACTGGTCCCTTTAGTGTTTGGTTTTCTGCTTCTTTGTTTAAAAATATTGCTATTTAATGTACAATAAGAAAAAAAAGAAAAGTGTTCAGTCAAACTAGACTAGTTAAACTGAGTTTACGCATAATATACTACATTCTCACATCTTCATTTTAAGCTGGAAAAAATTTATCAAAAACATGAAGAATTTGTAAATTCGTTGCTGAAATTATCACTGAACAATGAAACACGACGTGAAGTTTGGTCCGAACTGGCGATGGATCATATGCATAACCTTAGCGATCATTTATTTGCTGCGTTTGAACGGTTCTTTCTCACAGCTACTGAGGTTCGACGTAACGATACCATTGAAATTTGGTCATTTTCAACCTCAATTTTCTTCGCTGTTACTGTTGTTACCACAATTGGTTAGTTTTTTCTTCGCTTTTTTGGTCGACAGTAGGTAGTGTTTCGTCCAGAGGTTTAATTCAATGAACGTGGAGATTTTTTTTTTTCAGTTTATTGCACATTAAACTCATTTAATTTGGCGGTATACATGATACAGTACTTGATTCTTTGTTTAGGTTATGGTAGCCCAGTACCTGTTACTCGACTTGGTCGTATAATGTGTATTGTTTTTTCATTATTTGGAATACCTCTAACTCTTGTTACTATTGCCGATATCGGTAAATTTTTAAGCGAACATCTTGTTTGGCTGTATGGTAATTATCTTAAGTTGAAAAGTTTGCTGAAAAAGAGGCACATCAAAAAAGAACGTCAAGAAAGGATATGTGAAGATTGCCGAAGTCGTGGATTATCGCATAATATGCAGATTGTTGAAGAACAGAGGTTAATTAATTTGGTGTATCATTATTTTATGCTGACAGACTTTTTTTGCGTTTTTAATTTTTTAAGTTGTGAGAAGTTATCAATGAGCATTGGCTTAAGATGGATTTTAATTAATTATTATTGAACAAAATGAACTAACTATAGACATGATAGCTATGCATTCAGCAAACATTTTTTTCCAGTTTTTTCTTTTCTGTACAAAAAGATTTTTTAAAGTTATTAAGTTTTTTTGGCTGTTTTAGCTTTGGGTCAAGTTTAATTTGACTGTTGAGTAAATTGTCTTTTGTACTTGTAGAATTCCTGCAATGCTAGTGTTTGCAATTTTGGTTCTTTATACGGCACTCGGCGGAGTTTTGATGTCGCATCTGGAGCAACCTTGGGATTTTTTCACTTCATTTTACTGGTCTTTCATAACTATGACAACTGTAAGTTCTTTATCTACAAAAAACGTTTACAGGGGGAACAATTTACAAAGAACAGCAGCTAATCAGTTTTAAACAGAAATCAAAAAAGAAATTAGAACTTAATTTTTAGTGTAAAATAGCTTATTAATGAACTGATTCAAGTAAGTAAATGGATCACATTATTGGCTCAGCGGGTATTTTGAATTCCGGTGCTTGTGAACTATTTGTTTTTTTATTTTTATCGAACTGTTCGGTCTAAATTCACACACTTTAGGGGTTTTTTAGTATGAAACTTTACACTATTCAGTTTTTTTAGGTCGGGTTTGGTGATTTGATGCCGAGACGAGATGAATACATGTATGTGATTTTGCTCTACATCATTCTCGGTTAGTTTTTTTTCAGCTTTTTCTTGGTGTCACATTAATTTTTTTTGCTAATAATTAAATTGGTTAAAAACCGAAATAGTTGTATGCGAAAGAAAATAAAAAAATGAAATTTTTTTTGAGTATAAAGAAGAACAAAAAAATGCAAGAAATGTTGCTGCGTTTTTTTTAATTTAAAAAAGGAAATAAAAACAGTTGGAAATTTAATGCATTGGCATCAAATTGCACTTATAACGGAGCAGCAAGGAACAATTAGGTGTAGAACGTCTATATGGATTTTAGTGCTTTTACTGTGAAAATTTTAAATGTTATTTATTGTCCATTTTAGATAAATAAGACCAATGATTATTTTTTACTAGGTTTGGCAATCACAACTATGTGTATCGACTTGGTTGGTGTTCAATACATTCGAAAGATTCACTACTTCGGCAGGAAAATTCAAGATGCAAGATCGGCACTTGCCGTTGTTGGAGGGAAGGTTGGTAGTTCAGTTTTTAAGTTACTGTTCTCTTTTTTTTAGTTACTGGTATTTCACATATGTTGTTATACTGAGAGAAATAGATTTATTGGAAAAATTTCATTGTCATCTTTTCCTTTCCTGCTGGAGCACTCAACTGCAATAGGTTACATTAAGGAGTAACCATGCAAAGCAGTTTTCAGCTATAAACAGGAGGGAAAATTCTTTTGCTTTTTGTTTTTACTAAACGTGATTTTTATATCACCAATTGTGTTTTTTGAATTTGTAGTGCCAAATTGAATTTCTAGTTTTATGTTAGAAAGAGAAATCTAAGTGTGGAATAAGTTAAGGAACTTTATTTTCCAACCTTTAAAAACAGCGGTTAAGTCATGTTGCTTACAGTAATTTTGTCAGTCGACTATAGTTATTTTTTTGTAGGTAGTTCTTGTATCTGAACTTTATGCAAACCTTATGCAAAAACGTATCAAAAATGGTGCAAAAGAAGCGTTTATTATCGATAATTTGTATATATCAAAACATGTTATACCATTTATCCCCTCAGATATTCGTTGGATCAGGTTTATTTTGGCTTTTTGGCTATTTATTCTGGCTGTTCTGTTTTTAAAGTGATTACTTTAACTGAGATTTATTGGCACTATTAAAACTATTTAATCTGATAGAATACTAATTACAACTGGCCTGATTGAAAATAGTGCTTTTTGGGAATTTTTCCTGTCACATAAAACTTTTATAAGAAAATTTTTAAATAGATAACTTTTTCACAGGGAACAGTTTTTAGCGACATTCTCAATTTTTTTTGTTTTAGGTATATTGATCAAAGTACAGACAATCACTCAAATGCATCAAGCCCTGATCTTCATTCCTGTCGATTTTGTCATTCTCGATTTAGTGTTGGACATAAACGGTGATGATCTCTTTCATCAGTGGAGTAGATGTTTCTGTTCTGTTCTTTTTTCCCCTTTTATTCCACTTTTAGTTTCTTTGCAATTTGCTTTATAGGAAGCAGTTAATATGTGACATACGTTTCAGAGATCTTTTTTTGGACCAAATCGAGTTTACGTCTTAAGCACGATTATATATATACATACATACATATACACTAGGGGTTATTTGGAATGCAGTTCTATATTTGCACCTTTGACCTACCAAACTGCGTTTATTGTTATAAATAGTAAAAAAATGGAAGCAAAATTGGCTGTATCAGATATACAGTATATGTTAGTTTTTCATTCTAAAAATCTTTCTGACTGAAGTCTTTTTCTTCCTTCTCTGTTTATTTATATTATTTTTAATCTTATTTATCTAAAGGAAAGACACAATTTTTTTCTTTTTATTTCAAAAAAATGTTTTTTTTTTGAAAATGATGCCTTTGTTTTTTTTTGGCGTTTTTGAAATGTCTCTTTTTCTTTTCTTTTTGTTGGCAATTATTATTATCATTCTTTGCACTGGTCAAATTTTGGATCTTAATTTTAATCTTTCTTAATTTTTCTTTTGCTAATTGAACTTCGCTGCAAACAACTGAAGTTTTGTTTAAATAAAAAAATTGAAGAAAAAAAATATTTTTGATTTTCAACTTTGTTAAAATAACATTAGTATCTGTTTTGCGGTGGGTAATATCCGCAAAGAGGGCAAAAACTAACATGGTAATAAATAATGAGAAAAACTAAAAAGCAAAAGAAACTTTAAAAAAAAAAAAAAAAAAAAAAAAAAAAAAAAA